AACTTTGGGAAGGCAAGGTGGTAATGGTAATCAGGTTGGCAAACAGCCAAGAACAGTTTTAAGAGGAGCCAAGAATTTGAAAGCCCTGTCTATTAGCTGTTTCAGATGTATTTTGTTTGCTGTGATGATGGCCTTTCACTTGCTGTATGATCCTGATCCAGACATTCTCTCCCTCCTACTTTATCAGATTCATTAAGAGGATTAAGTAAGATAAGAGCTGACAGGAGAGACTGCTGTCTTTCTAAAATATGTTGCTATAATTTTAATGTAGATCAGTGTATGCTGCAGAATTTCTTCCTCTACCTTTCAGGCACACACCTCTACATTCCCCATCTTCCCTTGCTGAAAGGTGTAGCTATGTATCTGAGTTCTTGCCAATAGAATGTAGGGGAAGGTGATGCAAGCCATTTCTTAGCCTGGTTCATAAAGTTTTCCCAGGTGGTCCTTGTTTATATTTCTCTTTTTTCCTCATCCTCTGTGGGAATGGAAGGAAGTCAGCAGAACAGAGGAGGAAGAACCAAAAACGGAAGCAGTCTGGGCTCTGAATGACTATGTCCACCTGGTGAGAAACACGCTTGTTACGTGAGTATGAAATAAACTTGCCCTATTTAAGCCTCTGGGGTTCTTCAGTTTATTTGTTCAAGCATCTAACATTACATTAACTAATATGCTAGTACTAAGTAAATGCTAGGCACAGACTCATAAACCCCATAATATATATACTTTTATAAACACAGAGAGTTTATGTAACTTTTTCACATTCACACAGCTATGTTGAGGTGGAATACCAATCTCAACAGCACAAACCAAGAGCTCATAACTACTATATTATACTGCTTTTCTCCATATAGGAAATATTAACAAGTGTAGTACCTTGTTAACAACTTAAGTACTTACTCCGTGTAAGTACTTAATTTATGTTAGCTATTATTATATAGGCAAAGTAAAACAGAAAGCAAATAATTGAAAACTAAGAAACTTGATTCTAAACTTCTCTTACCAACTAAAATATTTACATTATAAAAGCAATAAACCTAAATGAACTTTTATTTTCTTAGTAAAGTCAGGCTGTCTAAAGGTAAATAGTAATGAAAATAGAAAAAAATTGATTATATTAAATTGGTAATTCAAACTGAACTTTAAGTATCTATAGCTCAATAAAAGGACATTTCTAATAAGTATGTTAACTATATATATGGTATGTATATTATATGAAATAACTGATAAAGCCCTTATTTCTCAACAGAAGAATGGTGGAAGTATATAGCCATTAAGCATTATAATTTCAATGACTTTTTAAGAATATGAAGAAAATGCTCATGATATAAGGTGCTCTAATTACATAAAGGTATTCATTTATTTATTGGTTCAGTTCATTTGTTCAAAAAATGTTTACTGAGTACCTGTTACATGCTGGGTGCTGGACTAGAAGCTGACCATCTGACCTCTGCCTTCAAATGGCAGTCTAGCTTTTTAGTGTACTCTTTATTAACAAACCAGCAGAGGCTCTTTCTAGGGATTATTTTCCTTATCTATAAAAATGAAGAGAATGGATTAGGTAACTTTCGAGGGCTCTGCAGCAATTAAGTTCTACAAGTGGAAACAGAATTCCTGATCCAATCACACATAAGAAGGCTATTTAGTGTACCTGCAAGATTATACCAGCTAAAGTCACAACAGTACATACACTTATTAATGTGAGTTCTATTTAGGACAAAGAACTAGCTTGTTTTGCCCCAGACTGAGGGGTTTTGTGAGATGTGAGACCTTTAGGACTAAATGAGAGTCTCAGGCATACTGAGATGGTTGGTCATCTGAGTTTCATGTCAAATTATTAGACACAAATGCTAAAATAAACTTAGTTACAAAAACCTCAACAAACAGCTTTTTTACACTGGAATGATTTTGCATGTGGTACAAAACAAGAAGAACAAGAACTATGTATATATAGTAAACTCACTCATGTCAAAAGTTTTTAGAGAAACAACATATTTGATATGGAAGTTAATAATAATCACAATAGTCACATAATTAGGAGTTGTACAGTCACCATCCTCTAAGAGTTTGGTGGTGGTCATTTTTAAACTATATCAATTCAGAGGCTGGAAGGAACACTGACTACCAGCACTCTATTCATATTTCATTAGAGGAAGACATATTTTCAACTTAAAAATTGTGGCTTTAGATGTCATATTATAGTTTTGTTTGCAAAATACAGACGTTCTTTTAAAGATTATTCTAATATGATCACCATCTAAAGTTTCATCTTTCTTTTTCTCCCCTCATTTATCACGTGAATCAGTACAATTAGGCATATACAATTACAACGCTCTTTCAAACTGAAACTAAAGAACCTCAAGGGGATGGTGGGGGACCCAGGAGGGATGTGTAGTTATCTCGACAAGGCCAGCTCCACGAGCAAGAACTCCTCGTAGATCAACAGTAAGATATGGCTCTCTTGGGAAATCTTAGGCCTTTCTATCTACTTTCATTCTTCTCCAAAGCCTCCAAGGTCTACAATGACTGAAATAAATAAATATTAAGATAAAGTCCTGGACCTTTAAGTGTCAGTTGGTTGAAAGAATCCAGAAATCCATTTGCAGAGTCACAAAATGGTTGTTCCTAAAATTTGGACCAAGCAACCATTTAGGCAGTTCACCAAATTTTCTGTCATTGGACCAAATTTCAGACTCCTTTTTGATTGCTAAGCCTGCATTTGCCCCCTTCTATCCCACAGCAATGTGTCCAACACACAGCAATCCCCATCCTCCTGCTCAAGCTCCTTCCCCACCTCTGACACATACATTTCTTTCTAATGATAATGCTCCTTCAGTCTGGAGCCAAATCAATGGACTGGTCAAGCAAAAAAAGCAGAGTTCCTTTGTCACTCTTGCCTTGGGGAAGAAAGAAATCAGTTTTTTAAAGTGATATGCTGATTTAAAAAGAAATGGATTGAACACTGGGGAGACAGAGTCTGCTTCTCTCATTGGAGTTGCTAGTGCCTTTAAGATATTCTGTCAGCTGTGTCAGTTCTCTGAACAACCAGCCCGCCTGTCAGACCTGGTGTCCTCTTTTGGTCTTCGCTACCTGGTTAATAATGCCTGGTGCTTATACTTGTTAAATGCTTACTATATGCAAGAACTTCACAAAGCATTTCACATGCTTCCTCTTCCTTAACCAGCACAACTCTTTGGGATAGGTGCCATTATTAAGCCCACTTTACAGCCAAAGAAACTAAGGCTTAAAGACGTAAAGTGACCTGCCCCAGAGGGACACATCTCATAAATTGCAGCACTTGGGTTTAAAGCAGGTTGGGCCTGGTTTCAAAGCTCACATACTTATGTTTGACTTGGTTTCTTCTCAGCTGGGTGTCATACCGTTCTCATGGAATCTCTTCCCAAACCTGGAGGCTGACAGATCTTGCCTCCTAGAAAGAAAAACTACCTACCACCATTAACTGCTCCAACTGCCCCATAGGATATACCTGTGTAAAACCCCACTATGCAGGGTACAGCATCATTTCCCCTCTGCTCTCAGAAAGAGTTTGTGAAACTTGATGGAGATTCCCAAGAAATACATGTTCTATCTTTCCCTGATCATTCAAGTTCTGTATTTCCACCAAAGGCCCACCTTCTTTCAGACAAACTCCAAACAACATATAATTAGTATGAGAAAGGGGGAAAGACACCCAAGTATGGACCTGGGGTAAAGTTCTAGACTCAACTCGCTTTGAAAGTTTTAAAATTATTTATAGGCATCATCCTCCCACCCTCATTACAATGGGCCTTTTTGTATAGCTGCTCTACTTTTCACCTACATTCTACCCTGAATCCTAATCATTCTTTCCCTAGAGTTTTGTAAGGCACACTGTGATCCATTGGTATTTACATGCCAGTTTCATGATAACATTTCAGGACACATAGGAGCATCAAATATTTAGCAGACATCTGTGAAAGACTCCAGGAAGTGCTATCGGGATCAAGGTATAAGATTATTGCTATTAAATTTATGTCTTCAAGGAATTCAGAAAATGATTCTGTAATAATGTATCTTTCCAAACTTTCCAGAAGTTCCAAGCTTGGACATTATCAGGAACTGTCACCACATTCTCCCTCAAAGCTGTCTACAGCTGAGAGGTTAATAATTCTCTAGTTTAAAACAGATTTCTCAATAGCAAGTACCCAGAACTTTCCTGGAGCCTGGCTTAAGCTCGCCACTGGAAGTGGAGAATCAGGTTCATGAGCCATTTCCAAAGACGCATTCTCATTCCTTGATCTCAGAGATCCCCCATTCCAAACAAACGGCATCCTCAATTCACTGCTTATTTAAATACAAGTTTCACACCAAACAAATCAGAAAGCTGTAATTACAAAGTTTCAGAAACGTTTTCTGAAACTCTCCCTAAATCAGAAATGGCTTCGCCATTCATTTAAATGATCGCAAATACTACTTCACGCGGCAAGGGCGAAGATCAGTTGAGGCGTGTATGCACACTGAGGCATATACACACACAGGGGCATGCACACACAACCGAAGGAATCAACATGCAAAGACGTAGGGTCAGATTTAATCCTAAAACTTGGGTCTCCCCCGGGTTGAATTTTATCTGCTTCTCAGCCCCTGAGCACAATTACGCTGCGGAGAAATCTGATCCCATTGCGCCTGGCTGGCCCCCCAGCACGGGCTTTTTTTTTGGTATGTCTTTTGCTAAGAAACGGCAGGGTGCTTGCCTCCCTAACCCAGCCACAGCCTGTCGTCCCCCAGACAAAAAGCGGCGGCAGGCTGCTCCCTGCAGCGGCAGCGGCTGCGGTGCAGGGCTGCCGGGCCACTCGGGACCCGAGGCGCTGCGCCTTTGTTGGGCTGACTACAGATGGTGCCCCAGCACGGGATTGAGCCGGGGGCGGGAGGCCAGGAAGGGGGTCGGACGGGAGGGGAGGAGACCGCGAGGCAGCCAATCAGTGCACAGCCCATCAGCTGACCGCTTTTGCTTACACCAGGTGCACGCCGGCTGCGGGGAGCACAAAGCAGGGCGCACCGAGGGCGCCGGCAGCAAGCCGGGAGCTGGGCGAGGCCCGTGCGCCCGCGCCTGCAGCGACCTCTGGGTGGGGAGAGGGGCCGGCGGCGTTAGCCCGGGCGGTGGTAACCGCGCGGTGGCATCCCTAGGCGCCCTGGGCACCTTCCTCGGCACCTGGCCGCTCTCTGCCCCGCCCTCTGCACCCCAATTCTACCCTCCTTCCCAATCCTGCCTGCCTGTGTGCCCCGGCGCGCGAGAGCCTGATTGAGTCGAGGCCCGCGCAGCAGCTGTTGCTCGTGTCACTGCCTCGCATCCCATCTCGGTTCTCTGCTAGGGGGGCCCCCAAGGAGCCTGTGCACGCTGCGGGTTGGTGGGGAGGCGCTGTTCAGCTGGTCCTCCTCCTCTCCCTCCTGCTGCCGCCGCGGGTGCCCGGCCCGTGCGCACCCCGACATCCCCGCCAGCCGAGCCTCGGGGTAAGTGCGCTCAACCAACCGGGCGACGGCGAGAGGTGTGGGCGGCAGCGAGGGGAAGTCAAGGCAAACTTGGCGGCGTGGCGAACCCGAGAAGGTCTGGGGAACCGCGGGATAAGATTGCGGGCCTAAGGAGTACGAGGGGGCGCGGCTCTTCGAGCTGGGGGAAATGACCAAGTCGGGGAAACGGGAATCTAGTACCCCCACGCCTTCCCCAGCGCCAAGGAAGGGGGGCGGGGGAACAAAACACACTGGGGTGGGGTAGAGCGATAGTTCGGAAGGAAGGCCAGGCAGAAAGAGGCAAATGGCTGTGTCAGGAGGCAAGCCCGCTGAATTTCAGGAACCATCGCGGGGGAGCGTGGTGCCCGCAGACCCGGAGGAAGGAGGGCTGCTGGGATGGGATCGGGGTAGGCAGCCGGGGTCTCAGAAGGGCGCGAAAGGGGCCCCGAGGAGTTAGAAAGAGGTCGGAGAGAGGAAAAGGAAAAGGAAGGTGAGATGTTGTGGGAAGAGAAAAGAGGATGTGTTGGTGGTGGTGGCCTTGTTGGTGAAAGAAAGAAGCAAAGGGCGTAATTTGCAAAGCGTTGAGTGTATCAAGTCAGAGCATTCAGAACAATCTACTCAATTGTCGGGAGGTCTAAATGGAGAAAAGACCACACTCTACATGCTCTGAACCTAGAACTGGTCAAAGCCTCACGAGGTTCGCCGGGGATGCTGAAATGTCAGGAAGCCTCGCTCGGCTCCAGAAACGGAGCCCGTGCTGGGTTCCCCGCTCCGCTGGCGTCGGTAGAGAGGAAAGTTTGCCAGCGAGTGTCCTTTGTGCTGCGTGGAGGGGTGTGGGCAGCCGTCGTCTTGGTGCTTCCCAGGGCCTCGCAGCGACCGCCTTCCGTGGAGGGAGTCCCTGCCTGGCAGGCTGCGGTGGGGCAGAAAGATCCAGCAGCTGGCGGAGCGCCGCGCGCCCGAGTCAGGAGGGAAAAGCCGTCCCGGGACGGTTACTAGGGAGCCGGTATGGATGCTTGGACTGGGAGGGAGATTCGGCTGTGGAACATGCACACTGAGAGACCAAGACTTCACCTGCTAGGTTCACCGCTTTAGCCCCTGTGCCAAGAACAGTGCCTGGCAATGAATGACGAGAGTGTGAATGGTTTTTGAGGCATTTGAACCGCACAGGCAAAGGACAATAGTACAGGAAAATGAACCGTTCTCTAAGTTTCATACCACCATTAACATTTTCATTCCCAGACCTAGATAATAAAGAAGTGAGACTTAACGAGGTAACAGGTATTGCTGACTTGGGCTTTTGCTTGTAGGATTTTCTGAAAGACAGTATGTTTTGTTTTGCAATTTGCTTTGCCAGGACGGTCTAAATAATTACTACTTGAATATGCTTACTACTTCGTTTCTAAGAGCTAGGGTTACAGGAGTGTGAAGTTCAGGAAAGTACTTTGATCAGTGTTAGGTCAAGAGTAAAAGTGGTGGTGGTGGCTCTGGGGCCATGTGTGCTCCCAAGTCTCTGATTTGCATGCAAATGTAAGGGATCCTGGCAGATGTCTGGCCTCATCCATTCACATGAAGGAATTTGAAAAGACAAGGAGTCTTTAGTTGACAATAGACCTTAAGAAAATGGAATAAAGGCGCAGTGTGAATTTTTCTGTTTGGGAATTCCATGGCTTGCTGACACCTTTATGCAAGAGCCAGATTCTCTGAGTGTTGTACTGAAAGCTCAAAGTACTGCTTGCTCTTTACCTGGCTATATATTTTTGTGCAATATTCAAGTTGGATGTTCTGTGCTAATGAGGAAAATGTTTATGTGAAGCAGACAGTAACTTTAATCCTCTTCTGGTAGTTTGAAGTGATTTCTGAATTGACCTCCCAACTTTTAGACTTTCTTTTCTTTTTCTTTTTGTATTTCTACCAGCTGATCACATTTGCTCTCCATCCTCAGAGATATACAACATAGGAGATAGTTATAGTTAACTGATATGAAGACTAGAATGTTCAATGTCCAGTCAAAATTATTGTAGTTGTTAAAGAACCAAACTTATGGAACTGCAGGTGATGAAACCTTCTCCTCCTTAGTCACCTGAGAGGTTGTTGGGTCACAGGACAGAACAGTGAATGGGGAGGCAGTCACTCAATGGACCCCAAAGCAGGGAAATTTCTGCCTTGTCTTAACATTAACTAGGAGACCACTGCACTGCTTACCTCCTGGTGCTGGATGATCGCTGAACAAAAGGCAGGCGGTGTGGACTGCACGTGAGCCCTGGGGATTATACCTACTGACAAGCCAGCCTAGTGGCCTCTTCTTTTGTCAGTCTCAAACACTGTTGAAGGGCAAAAGCCTCTATTCACTGAACAGCATTTGCCCCTGTATTCTATATAGTCACTGAAAAGGACATTAAAATACAACCAAAAAAAAGACAACATTGTTTTGAGGGCTCAGTATTTGGTGGGGGATTGGGCAACAGATGTTAGTCTGCTATTTTAAATGTTTCTTTAAGTTATTTTTTGCTGGTTCAGTGACTTTCATGCATAAGGCAGTATTTTCCCATGAGGGGAAAAAATGAATGAGTTAAATTTAAGGGAGTGAATGTTATAGCCAAGATTACATTTTCTGTCTAGAAGTCAGGAGGTAGCAAATCATTATATAAACTCTTATGTGACTTAAGCCTGGGATTCTGTCTTCATTATGGTCTTGAGGGTTCACAATAAAACGCAGTTGACATCTCTAAACTAGGCTATAAATCATTTTATTGTAAAGTTACCACCTAGGTATTTTTGGAAAAAAAAACTGGTAACTTTAAAATGACCAAAGCCTCATATTTGTGAGAACTTATCTTTGGCTATTATCATGTCTTTGTGAAATCTTTATTCTGCAATTCTAAGGAAAGGAAAGATTAGAGTTCATTCCTTGGTAAATAAAAGTGAAGAAGTACTAAATGTTAGAAAAGAATCACTTCTTCCCAGGGCCTCGCAGCGACCGCCTTCCGTGGAGGGAGTCCCTGCCTGGCAGGCTGCGGTGGGGCAGAAAGATCCAGCAGCTGGCGGAGCGCCGCGCGCCCGAGTCAGGAGGGAAAAGCCGTCCCGGGACGGTTACTAGGGAGCCGGTATGGATGCTTGGACTGGGAGGGAGATTCGGCTGTGGAACATGCACACTGAGAGACCAAGACTTCACCTGCTAGGTTCACCGCTTTAGCCCCTGTGCCAAGAACAGTGCCTGGCAATGAATGACGAGAGTGTGAATGGTTTTTGAGGCATTTGAACCGCACAGGCAAAGGACAATAGTACAGGAAAATGAACCGTTCTCTAAGTTTCATACCACCATTAACATTTTCATTCCCAGACCTAGATAATAAAGAAGTGAGACTTAACGAGGTAACAGGTATTGCTGACTTGGGCTTTTGCTTGTAGGATTTTCTGAAAGACAGTATGTTTTGTTTTGCAATTTGCTTTGCCAGGACGGTCTAAATAATTACTACTTGAATATGCTTACTACTTCGTTTCTAAGAGCTAGGGTTACAGGAGTGTGAAGTTCAGGAAGGTACTTTGATCAGTGTTAGGTCAAGAGTAAAAGTGGTGGTGGTGGCTCTGGGGCCATGTGTGCTCCCAAGTCTCTGATTTGCATGCAAATGTAAGGGATCCTGGCAGATGTCTGGCCTCATCCATTCACATGAAGGAATTTGAAAAGACAAGGAGTCTTTAGTTGACAATAGACCTTAAGAAAATGGAATAAAGGCGCAGTGTGAATTTTTCTGTTTGGGAATTCCATGGCTTGCTGACACCTTTATGCAAGAGCCAGATTCTCTGAGTGTTGTACTGAAAGCTCAAAGTACTGCTTGCTCTTTACCTGGCTATATATTTTTGTGCAATATTCAAGTTGGATGTTCTGTGCTAATGAGGAAAATGTTTATGTGAAGCAGACAGTAACTTTAATCCTCTTCTGGTGGTTTCAAGTGATTTCTGAATTGACCTCCCAACTTTTAGACTTTCTTTTCTTTTTCTTTTTGTATTTCTACCAGCTGATCACATTTGCTCTCCATCCTCAGAGATATACAACATAGGAGATAGTTATAGTTAACTGATATGAAGACTAGAATGTTCAATGTCCAGTCAAAATTATTGTAGTTGTTAAAGCACCAAACTTATGGAACTGCAGGTGATGAAACCTTCTCCTCCTTAGTCACATGAGAGGTTGTTGGGTCACAGGACAGAATAGTGAATGGGGAGGCAGTCACTCAATGGACCCCAAAGCAGGGAAATTTCTGCCTTGTCTAACATTAACTAGGAGACCACTGCACTGCTTACCTCCTGGTGCTGGATGATCGCTGAACAAAAGGCAGGCGGTGTGGACTGCACGTGAGCCCTGGGGATTATACCTACTGACAAGCCAGCCTAGTGGCCTCTTCTTTTGTCAGTCTCAAACACTGTTGAAGGGCAAAAGCCTCTATTCACTGAACAGCATTTGCCCCTGTATTCTATATAGTCACTGAAAAGGACATTAAAATACAACCAAAAAAAAGACAACATTGTTTTGAGGGCTCAGTATTTGGTGGGGGATTGGGCAACAGATGTTAGTCTGCTATTTTAAATGTTTCTTTAAGTTATTTTTTGCTGGTTCAGTGACTTTCATGCATAAGGCAGTATTTTCCCATGAGGGGAAAAAATGAATGAGTTAAATTTAAGGGAGTGAATGTTATAGCCAAGATTACATTTTCTGTCTAGAAGTCAGGAGGTAGCAAATCATTATATAAACTCTTATGTGACTTAAGCCTGGGATTCTGTCTTCATTATGGTCTTGAGGGTTCACAATAAAACGCAGTTGACATCTCTAAACTAGGCTATAAATCATTTTATTGTAAAGTTACCACCTAGGTATTTTTGGAAAAAAAACCTGGTAACTTTAAAATGACCAAAGCCTCATATTTGTGAGAACTTATCTTTGGCTATTATCATGTCTTTGTGAAATCTTTATTCTGCAATTCTAAGGAAAGGAAAGATTAGAGTTC